GGGTAATGATATAGAAGATACTATAAAAGATATTTCTGGTACATGAGTTGCAAATTTAACACCGAATAGAAATAATGGTAAAATAAGTAATCTTGTTATATAAATTTATATAAATAATAATAATTATAAAAATTTTAGATAAAGGAAAATTAGAAACGATAGCTAGGATTTTGAACTTATATGAATGAACATAGCCATCTGATAAAAATAATATGAAATATATACGTGCTAGAGCAATGCCAAAAATTGGTAGTTGGAAAGAATGGACACCTAATAGAATGGAAAAAATCATTAAAAAATGAAAAATTGAAAAATCCAATCCCACAATTACGAAGCATACAGATTCTAGCAAATCTTAGACAATTCCAATTGTTTAAAGACAAGGTAAATTTATATCAGTTTTATGCACTTGTCTAAAATCCTATTGGAGGATGATTATATTAATATGCAATTTTGTATATTTCAAAAACAATATTTACTGATCATTAAGAATATTAAAATCCATTATCTACTAATCTAAATATTCATATAGAGACTAATATCATAAGTGATAATAAATTGAGGTAAGCTAATTTTTTACAATTCATGATAAAATTAAACTGACCAAATTTTTTTTTTCTGTATTATTATTGCATTTAGTTATACTATTTTTTTTAGTGAGTGGGCTCTAAAAGACAATGAAAAAATTCATGAGTGTGATCTAGTAAAGAGAATGACAGAACAAGTAAAACAATTATTAGAAACTATGTTCTATACTAGAACTGCTAACTCATGCCAAAAAATGACAGCCTAACAAATACATGAAGAGTTAATGATACATGTACAGAATAGTGAACTTGAACAAGTCGATGTGCCAAAAATTACAAGTATTCAAAATTAGATTTTAGGATTTTCACGTAGATGGAAAGAAGCTATAGCACTTCGTTCATTAGAAGAGAAGGACACTTAGAAACTTTCTGAGTGATTATTCACATATAAATATATATCTCTTTAGTTCTGAAAATTAAAGTCAATTTGTTTTCCAAATTTTTTTAGAAAATCATACTAGTTGGTGAAGTCTAAATTTTATATAACAGTATAATATTTTAGGTATCAGAAAAATTCTAAAGTTTACCTTTGTTAATGAACATTATGTAATTCTTGTTCAATAATAAAACACTTCAATTCTAAGATCTATAATTCTTTATTTTCAATGTTCAAATAAATTAGCTATGATTTATAATCCAATATGAAATTACAAAACTAAATTACTAAATATATATATAACAATAAGTACTGCCAAAGGAAAACCTGTAATCGGGCTTTCAATTATATTTTGTATCCAGTTTGTTCCATGAGTGTTGTCTATGGAGAATTTATCATCGGGGTTTTCAATTATATTTGTAAAGAGTTGTCACAAAATATAATTGAAAACCTGATAATAGATTTTTTTCTAGATGGTATTTATGAAACAAACTGGACACAATATATAATTGAAAGCCTAATGCAGGTTTTCTCTTGATAGCACTCATATATACTACACGTTCAGTACATTATAGATTATTCTCTAGTAGAAATACTAATGAAAGCTAGCCATTAATATAATATATCTGAATATGCATATCTGTGTATAAGGAGTTATAAGTATGTAACTTAGGCTATAATATAAGAGTAAATTATAAGAGACCAATAATACAAAGTAAAGACAAAACTTTATTATCTAGTGTATTTACTATAGTTCATCTGAATTATTTATACCTACAAATTTTTAATAATAGCTAAAGGTCTTATTTTTATTCTTAACACTGATTCCACAATTTTAACAAGAACCAAGTCAGAATATTCAATTCGAATTATTCATACTACAATTTTTGATAGTAAGTAAATACTTTATTTTCATTCTTTCTAACTCTAATTTCATAAATATAATATAACAGAGATTTTTATATCATCTAGTAAATTAGCAAATAGGATAGTAAAAGCTTTTCTAGGATTAGGAGGATCTGCCTCGTGAAACATCTAAGAAAATAGAATACAGAAAACTAGTGGAGAGCCACAGTAGGAACTGGGGTTGTACGAACATCTACAAGGGTCTAATCTAGGTGATCCCGTAAAATGGGTACGGGCTGCTCTAGTGGGTTTGCTTCGAGATTAACTGGCTCTGCAATACTAGCAATGCATCTGGTATAGTGTATCCCGAGAGGACCTAAGCTGACTTAGGTAAATGGATCCGTAACGAGCTAGCTGGCTTAAGCAGTTAGGTGTTGCAGTGACGTTAGATTTGGATCAGTATAGGTTAATGAACAGAGTGTTTAAATAGGTAACTCACAGGCGGGTTACAGGTATGGTAGCATAGTGTAGAACTAATCAGGTAGTCTAATCGCCTGTGCGGCAGACTACTTAAATTAGACAATAACTAAAGTTATACATGTAGCTTGTTATACACTCTTCATATAATTACAAAACAGTAAGGATTATTAATATATATCCCGTATGCAATTCTAATAAAATTCCTTTAGCAATGTAAGCTGCCTTAATAAAAAAAAAAAAAAAATTATAATAGCAATAAAATAATAATACTGATAAAAACTATTACTTCTATAAAAATAATAAAATCTATAATGATTATAATAACTATAATTTCTATAGGAACTATAGAAATTATAAAACTGATATAAGAAATCATACATATCAGAGATGGTATTACATCAGAAAGTAGTACATCTGAGATAATTAAAATTTTTCTTTATAGCATGTATAAAATCTGTATATAGATCATGCACATAAAATACATATAATTTTTGGATCTCACATAGAATTTTTAATATGATTTCCAATTCAGACTAGCTAACTCATATTAAAATAATTTTTTTTTTTTTTTTTTTTTTATATCTTGAGCGATCTTGTCTGTCATTTATTAAGAGAAAGCTTACAATAAGCAAAAAACAATCTAATATAAAAACTATACTAATCTGTTCTCTTTAGACTAATCCGAACTAACTCAGCTGCTTCAAGGGTACCCAAATTCGATCTGCTGCAGGAGCTATTTTCTTATGAAAACTTTAGTCTGTATATACAGACACTCAGAATCCGATTAGCAAAGGCAACTCCTAGCTATATATCAAGATCCTAGGTCCCTCTCTACCTAGTCAGAACTAAGTAAAGAGAAGTTAGTACCTAGTCTCAAGA